TGATTTCCTCTGGTCTCTGTTGTACCATAGCCTTAATCACTGATTAAGTTACTAGTCATGCTCTGATTAATTGCTAGTAATTTTACTTTGACATACTTATCTAGCAAAATAAACTTATAGTAATTCAACTATGACAGCGAATAATAATAAAGTAGTAAAACATAAAACATACCACATGGTCCTGATTTGACAAGTCGTATTTCAGTGCAAATGACTTCACTCTTCCTACATATATTGTATTGTAAAATTTTATAAGATCACCTCTTTCCTCTTTCACTGGTCCACTGGAACAGTCAGGTGTTTTTGTAGCATCTTCCAAGTCTGTTAAAAAGAATGCAATGTTGTGATACAAAGCATACTTTTTATTTTATTTTTTTTGAGACAGGGTCTCACTTTGTCACCCAGGGTGGAGTGCAGTGGTGCAATGTTGGCTCACTGCAACCCTGACCTCCTGGATTCAAGTGATCCTCCCACCTCAGCCTCCTGAGTAGCTGGGACTACAGGCACGCACCACCATGCCTGGCTATTTTTTATTTTTAGTAGAGACGGCGTTTATTTTTAGTAGAGACGGCAATATTTCCATGTTGCCCAGGATGGTTTCCAACTCCTGGGCTCAAGTGATCTGCCAGCCTCAGCCTCTCAAAGTGCAGGGATTACAGGCGTGAGCCACCATGCCCAGCCACAAAGCATACTTTAATATACAAGTCAGCAATTTAAATTACCTTTCTACAATATTAAAAAAAACTCACAAGTCTTTACGTAGAGAAATTAATATTTTCAGAGAAGGTTCAGAAATCCATCTGTATTACTTTTAAGTCAAATTGGAATCTAGAGAAATGCAAACATATCAATTGAAGGTGGTGCTCTCTTCTCTAGATGCCACTTCAGAATGTTTTCACAACCATAGCTTTTGAGCTGACTGTCATTAGTGGCTTTTAGAGGGGCAACAGCCCTGAGCTGGTGTTATCTAAGTTCTACAGTATGGGAGGCAGTGGCAAACCTCAGCTTCAGAAAACTAAAAGGCCTGCAGATATTCTTCTTGTGTCTTTGAGAAAGGTGGAAAGATTCTAAAAGGTAAAGCATATCCTGAGAGGTTAGGGAAGAAGCAAAATGAATTACATTTATTTCTCTGCAAATACATGGCAGGTGACAGGTGTTCTAAGAGCCTTATTGTACCACATACAAAAGGAACCCTGATCAGGAACCAGTGTTCAGGTTTTACTGAGCACCCCCAATAGTAAAATAACAGCTTGCCCCAATGTAGTTTCCTACTTAATGGTGCAACTCTGGGATAGCTTGTGAAACTAGGCAGAAATTTGTCCTACTATTTTTTGGGGAAGGAAAAGTATTATAGAGTATTACAAACTATCATTTGCTTGTATATACAAGAACCATGTGTTTAGAAGAGTTAAGAAAACCACTACCAATTAAAAAGAATTTAGCATTTATATGAAAAAAGTTCTCATTCTCAATTCACTGGCCTACAAACATTGAGAACATGGGTAGAAGCAATGCCTTCACCTTAGGAAAACCAGAAAACACAAACATGGTTCAAAGACCAAACGGCCCCAGGGGATCTCAGTCTTAATTTGGATGTCTTTTTCACTTCTGCTATTTCTAAAGGATCTTGACTAGGGTGGGAGGGGAGGGGAGCTATGTGGTTAAATAAAGTTGAGGAAATGCTGTACATTATATTAGAAATTCAGAAATGCATGTTAGTATAAGGCTCTGAGAAGTACTGCAGTTTGGGAAAAAAAAAACTCTCATGTTCACTTTAATTCCATACTTCCCCAATTTTTTATGTATAGTCTCTTTCCCCAAAACACTTTTTTTTTTTTGAGAGGGAGTCTTGCTCTGTTGCCCAGCCTGGAGTGCAGTGGCGCAATCTCGGCTCACTGCAGTCTCTCTGCCCGCTGGGAACCAGCGATTCTCCTGCCTCAGCCTCCTGGGTATTTGGGATTACAGGAGCATGCCACCACATCTGGCTAATTTTTGTATTTTCAGTAGAGATGGGGTTTCATCATGCTGGACAGGCTGGTCTCAAACTCCTGACCTCAGGTGATCCGCCTGCTTTGGCCTCCCAAAGTGCTGGGATTACAGGCGTAAACCACTGTGCCTGGACCCCCCAAAACACTTATACTACCATTCTGGGAAACACTGTTCCAAAGGATACTGGTATGTTAACAGCTCTTCTAGGTTATTCTCATTATATGGATCAATTAAAATTATTTCTTTTTGTTTTGTTTTTATGACAGGTTCTTGATCCTCTTGCCTCAGCCTCTCGAGTAGCTGGGACTACAGGTGAATGCTGCCACACCAGGCTAATTTTTTTTTACTTTTTGTGGAGACAGGGTCTCCCTATGTTTTCTAGGCTGATCTCTAACTCCTGGGCTCAAGTGATCCTCCCACTTCGGTCTCCCAAAGTGCTGGGATTACAGATGTGAGCGACCACGCCTGGCCTAAAATTATTTAATGTCCTCCTTGTATTAGAAATTTATTGAGACAGAGACTATAGTGTCTCCATACTTCTGTGTCATTCCAATTCCAGCTGTTAATATTTATGTAAGGTAAGGAGCTATACTTTACTTGAATGAACCAAACATTTAAAATTGTGGGAGGCTGGATGTGGTGAAACCCTGTCTCTATAAAAAAAAAAAAATTAAGGGGCCAGGCGCGGTGGCTCACGCCTGTAATCCCAGCACTTTGGGAGGCCAAGGCAGGCGGATCACAAGGTCAGGAGATCGAGACCATCCTGGCTAA